GGGGGAGGAGGGCGAGGAGGAGCAGGAGAAAGAGAAAATAGATAATAGTCCCTCTCTTTTAAAAGAGTTAGCTGACCCTTAAGTTTTCACTTAAGAATGTACATGTGCACTGGAGAGATGGCTCAGCAGTTAAGAGCACTGGCTGCTCTTCCAGACGAGCCATGTTAAAAATCTAGCACCCCCATGGTGACTAGCAATCATCCATAATTCCATTTTCAGGAGATCTGACTCCCTCTTCTGGCCTACGCGGGTATTTCATAACATGGGTGTGCTTACATGCTGGCAAAACACTCACACATACACAAAATAATAAAAATAATAAATAAAATACTACAAAAGAATGTACATATGTATTGTACATATATGTGCCAAATAACTAAATTTTATTTAATATTACTGCCAAGAGTTAAAAGATCTCTATATAAGAATTAATCTCTAGCAAATTGTATCTGTGATCCACAGAAGTCATTTAAAATATTCTAATAATTAACCTGAAAATAAACCATGGAACTATTTTAATAACATTTCATATTCATTCTGAATATCATTTCACCATATTATCATTATAAAATTTGTACTGAAATATTTTACAGTCTTTGTTTTCATACTAAGCCATTGAGGTCTGGCCTGCAATTTGTATATCCAGCGTATGATAAGTGGGACTTGCCACATGTGATGGGCAGTTACACTTTTGGACAGGGGAACACCATGATTTTGTATTTCTTCCAAATACTATGAAACTACATAGGCCCACATTCTTGGCAAAGAAAAGAATTGCTACATGTCACAAAACCTCCAGTATCATTTCTTTAGTGCTGTCTCATCTTCATTGTTTTCATCTTCTAGTGGGTTGCCCTCAAAGCTAACATACCACAGTAAGTCAAACTTATAAGAACAGTGATCACAAGTGATCACTGATGTTTCAAACCAGAACATTTTTTTTATTGTTCTGTGCAAGTCATTCAGTTATAATATGTGTTCAGAGGGATACAGAAAAAAAAAAAAAACCTAGAAATATTTTATTAGTCTTATGGAGGATGTAAAATTGAGAGGGTAAAAGCAATCAAATAACTTCAGTTGAGATATAAATTGTCCTAAGAGAAATATAAAACAGATTTGGAAGGAGGAAAGAAGGAAGGCAGACCAGGAGGGAGGCTGGGAGAGAGGGAGGGAGAGAGAGGGAGAAGGAAAAAATGAAGGAAGCAAAGAAAGGAGGGAGGGACAGAAGGGGGAAGAAGAGGGAGATGGAGGGAAGAATAAATGAAGGGAAGAAGAGAGGAGGGAAGAAAAGAAAGGAAGGGATAGAGTAGGGAAGATCTGTGATGTTGGAGAAGAGAGCAGTCTGTAGGGACTGTATGGAGGAAGGCTTCCTGTTTCTCTTCATCCTTACCCAGTGCCCACTGCTGCCTCCTTATTCCCTCGGATTACAGTGGGGAGGCCAGACATGACTGTGCTCTTCAGTTTTCAGTCTTTCAGCTTCTATTTTATTTTTTAACCTCTAAAATATCTTGTGAACACCTCCATTCTAGGCATACAGTTTTCTATTTTTAAGGCTCTTTTCAAGCTATACTCTACTTGGAGTGCTGCCCTCCTTACCTTTTTACCAAAATTCGTTCTTAAACACCAGCTTTCCTGACCACAATCTCCCAGGTGCCCTTACTCCTCTTCTTAGGCCATCACTAAATTTGGCAGATAATTTTGACCTAGAATTAGCCTAGTAATTCTCAACTGTCAAGTGGTAGCACATTTGGAGACGTTACTAAACCTTAGGCTCCAAGGCCACATCTACAGAATTTATGAAATACTTGGCCAATAGTGGGATAAAAATTTTCATTTCTAACAAGTTCCCAGATAGTACCAAAGCTGCTGAACCAGGAACACAATTTAAGAATAATATTCCCCATGGAATGAGAGTGAGTGGATTTTTCCATCTTTGCATTTTGGCAGCGTATGACTCCTGAATTGAACCACAGCTGACAAAGACCTGTGGAGAATACACCTGAGTTGAAACCCTCATAAATGGAAGACTCATCAGAAAGATACTAATAAAGATGTGACAACATTATGCTTCCTACAATATCTATGTGAGAAAACCATTTTTTCTGCACATGCTTTTAGAATGAGTAGAATAGTGTGCTAGGAAGAGATGACGCAGTGGACTGTAAAGGATGCCTCCTGAACAGGGGAGTGATAGAGTAAAATATGTTCCACATTGTCATTTTATTTTACAAGGTCAAGACAGTAGCTCATTGTTCACCTTTAGGTCCCCCAGCAACTTTAAAATAATGGCAGCGGCAGCATTTGTTTCAAGTAAAGATATTAGGATCCATTTGTGAAACAGGGAATAAATTCTAGATTGGTGACCACATATCACTGTTTTCCCTTAGTTCTTTTTGTCCTAAATTATTTCTATTTCTATTTTTCACTTTCACTAAGAAAAATCTAGTAGAACATGTGTCTTGTTTTTAAAAAAGATACAAAGTTGATGTTCTATACAGAAGAAAGTTCAGATTCTTGCAACAATGACAACCCTGCCTCCAAAATACAAAGCACTACCAATGTTATTCAGAATCTTCATTCTATAAACTGAAATATCTTAAGAGATGTGAGACAGTACCTTGGTCAGTTGCACAGTCAGAAGAGGAAAATGTTTTCTATTTCAATAAACCATTTGAAGCTGAGAACCCATCAGAATACTATTTCACTTCCTTTCTCCTGCTCTGAGCAACAGCAGGAGACAAACCATCAGACGTAGATTTGGCATGGCTCACCTTGCTGCTGCTGTGCTTCTTTTTGCTTACAGAGGGTGACCCTGGCTGCCCCGGGCTGGGAACAGAACTGGATCCTGCAGATGTAGGACCTGAGTGAGCGTGAGAACCTTTCTCCACAACTGAAGACAGGACCAGTGGCGACTGCTGGAGTGAGACTTTCTGCAACTCTGCTGCCAGCTGCTTGGGATCAACCCCTGGGGATTTCGCCTTATCCACTGGAACAACATGAAAAGGCTTTCTTTACTTCTCTGGTCCAAAGGTGAAAAACAACATGGCACTTATTTGAGTTCTAGGTGACAACACACTTAAAAACTAAGCTAAACTTTCAAAATCAAATTGATTCAATTGCCGTTTTACGCTTGTATTTCTGAGGAAATCTGTATGTCCTATAGAGAAGTTCATAATGCTAAATTTCAGAAGCAAGCTGAAGTTCCTATTTGAAATGACCAAACTGACTCCACTTTATTCTAGCTTTTACGCAACCTGTGTTTCTGCCCAGCTGCTCCACCTGCTCTAAGTGCAGACAGGCAACACCATCCCTGAATGCAGGCTATACTTGAATTTCAGGGAGTTACATGATTTTTGGTTTTGTTGATAATTACATAAACATCTACTCTTTTGTCCACATCTTTAAAAAACATTTTTATTGATTTTTTTGAGAATTTCATACAATATATCTTGATCATATTCAGACATCCTCCCAAATCTCCACCCTCACCCCACTTCCCCAGATTTCATGTCCTCTACTGTTATTTTTCTCTTTTTTAGAGGATTATCAGAGTCTGATTTGTGTTCCTCAAATAGTCTTGGGTGTGTGTCTGTCCCTTGGAGTATGGTCAACCTACCAGGTATTGCATCCTAACAGAAAACTGACTCTCCCTCTCTTAGCATCTATCAGTTGCCAAAAGCTCTTTATCTAGGGCTGGAGATTCTTGACCACTTCCCCCATCCTTGCTGGTGGTGCTAGATAGCTGCAGTTGTCAATTTGACAGGACCTGAATAAATTTCTGAATTAGGGATTTGCCTTCATCAGAATGGCCTGTGAGCATGTCTGCAGGGTGTTTTCTTGATTGTTGAATGGTGTGGGAGGGCCCAGTCCACTGTGAGTAGTACCACCACTGGGCAGGTGGTCCTGGGTTGTATAAGAAAGCAGGCTAAAGAGCCAGGCATGGTGGTGCATACCTTTAATACCAGCACTTGAGATGCAGAGGTGGACTAAAGCCAGCTTATTCTACATAGGGAGTTCAAGGCCAGCTGGAGCTACAGGAAGACCCTGTCTCAACACCCCCCACCCTCCCAAAACATCACAGGCCAGGGAGAAAGCCAGGAAGCAGCATCCTCCATGGTCTCTGGTCTTTGACACGCTGAAATTCCTGCCTTGGCATCCCTTAATGATGGCCTGTGATCTGTAAGCCAAATAAATAAACCCTTTCATTCCCGTTTGCTTTAACACAACAATACAAAGTTAACTAAAACAATGAAGTTTTTGTCTGTCTTGGGCTTGCATACATCTTGTGCATGCTGTCACAAGTGCTGTGGGTTCATATGTTAAATTACCCTGTGGTGTCTACACAACATGGTTTCCTCACATTCATATACCACCTTTGGCTCTTAGAATCTTTCTTAGAATCTTTCTACCCCCTCTTCCACAATGATCCTTGAACGTTGAGAGGAAAGGGTGTGATGTAAGTGTCTCATTTAGGGATGAGCACTGGACAGTTCATATTCTCTGCACACTGGTCAGTTTTGGGTTTCGGTGTTTATTGCCATCTGCTGCAGCCTTTGCTGCTGAGAGTTGAGGAACGTACAGGTTTGAGTCTGTATATCTATGATTATGTCAACATCTGCCTCTACAGCTACTTCTCTATCAGTCTCATTCATTGTTGGAAGGAAATTGCTCTCACCTACCAGATTTTGGTGGTTCATGAAGTTCCAGGTGCTGGGGATTTTCAGAGTCTGATAGCATGTTGAGGTCCCTAAAATTAAGATGAATATCAAAAAGAAATTGAAGAGATCTGAAACCAAAGGTAATTTTTTTTTCCAAATACCCTGATTCATTTTCAGTCGGTAAATGAGAAGTGGTTCATGATATAAAGCAACTCCAAGGCATGCTCACCCTGCTGACCCAGTATGTATTAGCAATGCTGTTAAAAGTCAGAGCTGATAAAAATGTCATTTAAGGTGAAATCTTTATGGATTGAGTGTAAGTTCATTTTGAAATACTATACACATCCATGGAATCTAAATGGGTTCAAGCTTTCATTTAAATGAAGCATGTTTTAGGAAAAGCATGAAAAGGGAGAGCTAGTGACATAATCAGAAATAAAATTAGCAGAATTCTATGACTTAGACTTTGATTCAGAACACAAGAAATCTATAAACCTTGTATTCACTTTATTTTCTAATCACTAGGATCTTACTAACTGGCAAAGGTTCCACCTTAACAATTTTAAATTAAAAGATTCATGAATAGCCAAAAAATGGAAACAGAAAGATGGGGAAAAACTCACAGTCTTACACATATTTCTGCTTCCCCACTTTGCTGACTAATGATACTCTGTACTTCTTCATATGTTTTAGAAGTTAAGGGGATTCCATTCCATTCCAAGACTTGCATACCTAAAAAGAAAAATTTGAGATAAAATCAGACATGTGTACTATCTCTAGTCTGGGTTCATGAGGCACAAAATTTTGTTTGCTTTTCAAAGAAAATCAGCACAGCATTTCAGAGAACATTAGTTCAATGTTCTCCAGAACATTACGCAGTGGGATATATACTTATCTGAGCTCAATATATGTTTAAGACAACATGCAAAATTTTGCTTTTGAGAGACCATTATTACCAAACACATGCACACTGTTCATATTTCTATGAAGAAAGCCTTATTGAATAAATATTGTTTAGCCTAATTTTGTATAGAAAGAAAACAAGCAGATAATTGCAACCATTAGCATAAGAGTATTGACTACCATATACTTTCATGGAATAGAGTGGTTGAAAAAGTCATTAGGATTTCTTGGTGATGCTCTGATCTTGATTGTATCCAGATAAAACAGGTTGTACTTTGTGTCTTTTACTTCAGTGCCTGCCAGACATTTCTGATGTGAAGAGCAAGAAAGTCACAGAAAGGCCAGCTTTGTAGGTCTATGACCTATGCAGCAGTAAAAGGCTTGGCTTCAGAAAGGCCCTGTGATCTACTGTTATCTTGAAAATATTAATAATGTTTGGACAAAGGATCCACTGTTTCATTTTATACTGAATCCAATAAATTATCTACCTAGCCTGTCCTGGTCAGGGCCTTTTATTTATCTTATCTAAGTGAAAAGACAATTTTATACAAAAAAGAAAACAGCAACACATTTAATATTTAAGTATTTTATATTAGGTTTCTTTGGTTCATTTTATAAGTTGTAAAAATAATTTAGGGCTGTTTGGTATAATCCACATTTCTAAAATGTAGCTATGTGAGCTGGGTGAGATATAGGTGAAGCAATCCCATGGCATGCCCCAAAACTTGTGAATATTATCGGCTTTGCCAGAAACAAACGTCTTATGCCATGATACATCAAGTGAAAAAAAATTATTGAACAATTCAGTTTTTAATGAACTGGAATCTATGAAAACTCCCTATTTCTCACCTTAGCATTGGCTTCAGTGGGAAATCGCAAAGTAGGTGATTGTGTCTTTAGGGTGTTAAAGGTTATGTTGTACAGTGGGAATCATGTTATCAGTTGCAATTAAGTAAGGAAGTGTCTTTACACCATAGTGGAATACCAAAAGAAGACCACCAAAGGCTCAAAGTAACACAAAGAAACACTTTTCTATAACTTACTCCAAGAAAACTTTATCTTCCGATAGGCCTTAGATTTATTTCAACAATCCCAGCTGTTGTACACATAAAATGAGAAAATTACATAAAAGATAATGACACTGAGAATAATATAGCACAGTGAAGGATGAAAGCAAAGCATTTCTTAGGTCAGCAGAAAAAAACCTACATTTATACACAGGATATTTTGAATTGAAAAATTAATGTTGCCATAATTCTATACATTGTCACATTTCCTAAAAGCATAGTCCATGAAAACAGTCACATATTTAGTTTTTCTATTGGGTTTACCTATTCAGGTTTTTACATTTTGTAATAAAGGGAAAATGGATAAAATCCAAATTATCTAGTGAAACAAAAATATATTTAGACATAAAAAAACCAAACCAATTTCTGTACTGTCAAAAAAATCGCAGAAAATATTATACAGATAACTAGATTTTTGTCTAAACATATGTGGGGCTGCAGTCTGCTCTGTCCCAGTACAGGTGACTGAACTTTCCACTGAGTTTTCTTCATGAGAGTAAGTGCTATGCAGAAGCTCAGCAGATGTTAGTTCTTTTGTCCTAGCTTGATACTCATGGCGATACACAATAGAAATGGTGACTACTTCAACGTAGTCATTTAACAATTCCCTTCCAAGGTCTCTCACTTCCTGCAAGTGAATGGACTATCTTTCACAAAATGGATATAGAAATTGTGAGAAGTAATATTACATGATTTCAAAACTGTATTTGACATACCATATCCAAGAATGGAAGATAAACAACCATTTGGTCATCACTGTGGATACAGAAAAGAGCTCGGTAACATTTCAAATCCCTGTCTACTAAAAACAAAGACTACACTAGGTACATATAGAGCATATCTTAACATAGTAAAAATCATTTGTAATTAGCCAATGGTTAATGTTATAAGAGATGGGAAAAACTGAACATTTTCTTTCTACAATCAGGACTAAAACAAGGATACCCACATATAGTACTTTGACTCAGCATAGTTCTGGAAATGCAAACTAGGGTAATCACACAGGAGAAAGAAGCAAAGGGCATCAGGATGAGAAGAGAGGAGTCAGATTCTTACTGTTTAATAGAAGATAATCTTACACCTAGAGAACCACAAAGACCTTAACAAATATCTATTTAGGATAATAAATTTAGCAACATTGCAGGATACACGCTTAACATACAAAACATGGAAAATGAAACAGAAGTCAAGAAAGGAATCTGATTTATAATGGTACACAAATAAAATTCCTATGAATCAATTTACTAGAATACATGAAATATTTTTAGAATAAAAAATATAAAAGACTAGAGTCTGGTGTAGACCCTGGTGTACTGTAGTCTTCAATCCTAGTATTCTGGAATCAGAGGCAGGTGGATCTCTGTGAGTTAGAGACCAGTACAGTCTGCATAATGAATTGCAGTTCAGCCAGCACTATATAGTGAGTCCCTGTCTCAAGAAAAAAAGTCTAAAACATTTATAGAAGACATTGAGAGTACAAAGAAATGAAAAATTTATCATACACCTTCAAGGCTTCAAAAGTCAACATTGTCAAAATGTCTATATTAACCAAATCCTCAATGGAAACCCTATTAAATACCAATGACACTCTCCCCAGATTTAGGAGAAAGACTTAAAATTCCTTTAGAATGCAAAAAGCTGTGAAACATGCAAAACCACCTGATAGAAAATAATGCAGGAAGACTTCATATTGTCTCACCTTAAAGTACCTGGTTACAGATCTCTACATTGTAAAATCCTACAAACAACTGTAAAATTCATGCAAAATTTGTTCAAACATATTCTGTGAATCTGCTGTGCTGGATAGCTTTAGTGTCAACTTGACACATCTGGGTTGAGGGAGCCTCAATTGGGGAATTACTTCCATAGGACTGGCCTGTGGCCATGTCTGTGGGGCATCTTTTTGATTGTTGAGCAATGTGGGAGGTCCCAGCCCACTGTGGGTGGTGCCACCCCTGGGCAGGTGGGCCTGTGTTACATAAGAAACATGTTAAGATTTACTGTTCAAAATTATAAACTTAATAAACTACCAATCACTAAAAGGTAAAGGCATTTATTAGGTAATTTTTGAACTTAGAATAGCAACATAAAATATTCTCATATATATGTTTTAATAATTTCTAGGATTACTTAATGCTGAATGTTCCTCAAAGTAGCAAAGCCATTCTTGTGTTTATAATACAAAACTTCACGTGATGTTACTGTATTAGTTATTTTTCTGTTGTTCTGCTAAGAAATCTTGACCAAGGCAACTTGTAGAAGGAAGAGTTTATTTGGCTTATGATTCCAAAAGGATAGAGTCCTTAATAGTGAGGGGGGCATGGCAGCAGAGGTGGCTGGAGCAGAAAGGTGAGTGATCACATCTTCAAGCAGGCATAGGAAGCATAGTAAAACTGGAACTCCATCAAGGCTTAAGAACTCTCAAAACCTACCCTTGGTGATGTGCTTCCCCCAGCAAGGCTACACCTCCTACAATGTCCCAAAACAGCACCACCAACTGGGGATAAAATGTCTAAATACTTGGAGCTTATGGGGGACATTCTCATTCAAACCACCACAGTTACTTTATTCTTAATACTTACAATTGCATCAAAAACATCTTAGTGATTAAATTTATTTAGATAAGTCAAATTTTTAGTTTATTATATCCAAGCAACTATTGCACTTTCTTTGATTTTATTCATTCTTCCAGCACTTTATCAGCATGTGCATGTGCCAGGCACTACCTAGTTCATTGCCTTTGTTTATGTCTATTATACATTTTTTATTTATTTTTATTTTATGTGCATGAATGTTTTGCATATAAGAAAGTGCTCTTCTATCATACAATGCCTGTGGAGGCCAGAAAAGGGTATCAGATCCCCTGGAACTGGAGTTTTGGATGGCTGTTGGCCACCCTGATTTGGGGAATCAAATCAGGGTCTTCTGCCAGAGCTGTCAGTGCTCTTAACTGCTGAACCATCTTTCCAGCCCCTTAATATTCATTCTTTTTCATAAAAACACATATTGTATTAGAGAAAGAGGGAGAAATATATTTAGTTAAATGAAGGTGATCCACTAAGGAGAAAATTCCTTATCTTTGCAAGCAACATGAAGAAAAACCCCAAATGTGTTAGTGACTGGAGTGTGACAATTAAAGCAAGAATGAAATGCCAGACATTGACTAGATGCAACATCAAGAGATCTTGGCCTTGACAAAGAACATCAGTATTTGCCAGGTAGTTTGTTGCACTTAGTTTCCACTTCAAGGCTTGGGAATACTATGACTGTGATATGGTCAGAAAATAAAACCCCTGTTTAAAATTTACAAAGCTGCAACTCTATCTTGATGAGAATGCAGACAAATGATGCAACCCAGCAGGTTAAATTTATGAACGCCAACAAATCTTCTTGAGTATGGATTTATAAGTATCAAGAGCAATGTCACTGGGAGTCTAATAAATGCTAATGACAGATATATGTGACAGAAGTTAGAAGAAACAAGTCACATCAGGTGTTAACACCAGAAGGCCATCAAGATCTAAAATCCTGGGCAGACTGGTACAATCCTGTCACAAATATGGGAGTAATAAATCACTTTCTAATTGCTGGTCTGCTTCATAAGATGGAGCTCATTTCTGACATTGATATCAAGCCTAGGAACTTGAGGCTAGACAGGTCACAGGCTATAGAGAGGAGAGGCTAATACTATTATTCTGCTAAATAGATATATCAAACTGACAAGTAATGATTGTTATACCCATAGATTAATGCATGACTTAT